AAATGGAAACGAGGGTACGCAGAGAAAGAATATGATCATTACAATTATGCACACTTAGTTACTGTAAGGCATACGGATTGGGGGGATGGGACACCCAGAAAAGGTGTTTTGAAATAAGGGAGGTGGTTGCACAGAGGCATTCTGAGAGGCAGGCCCTGGCATACTGGACAACACAGGGAAATGGACAGAGTATTCAGGAAGCAGGAGGCTTTTATACAGCTAAGGCTAGTCGAGCTAGATAAAATCACAGAGAGGGAACATAAGAATGGAGAGAGACAAGGCAACAACTGATGATGAGGAGAAGTTTGTGCAGGATCTTGGAGGGAAACAGAAACCAGAGAAAGGATTTAAGTAGGAGAGTACCAGCGAAGTTTCAATAAAGCAAGCATCTTACACATGAACAACTGTTTGAGGAGTCACTCACAATGGAATTCATGAAGTTTTACATTACAGGTTGGCTGAAATAGTTTTCCCCACATAATAAGTGGATAGCCTAAGCAAGTAAGCCTAGCCTGTGGCAAATAGTAACTAGAATCCTATACATATAAGTAACGGTCTGTAGAAAGTATCTAATATAAGAGGTGACTAATGTAAGAGGTGTTTATTGTCAGTGTGTCTCTGCTTCAAAAACCGTCACATCTCATTTCTATCATTTGCCTCCTTGTCTCTTCTGCTTCAAGGTATGTCGGCCGTGAACCAGCTGCCGCTCCAGCAACTGGTAACAAGAACACGCATCTCGTGTCACTCAGAAGGTTTTTGGACACAGCTTTCAACCTGGAGGCATTTGAAGGAAAGATGTTTTGATTGTAACGTTGTGGCCCATTATCTCCGTATGTAGTATAGTATGTATGTATTTAGGGAAGGCCATGACCATAACATGAAATAAAATTCAGCAGGGAAAGACTTCTTGGGATTTTTTTTGAGGTTGGCTTTTTCAAAGACCTATTTTAAAGCTTACCTCTTCTAAACCACTGTGTGTGTGTCGTAAATGCTAAGCGTTCCTCTTAATTCTCATCCGGTCAATGTGGTTCTGTTGATTACATCACAGCTACCTCTTGTTAGGGAGATGGAAGAAACAATTATTTTGCTTTAAGTTTGGGAATATTCAAGAAAACTGGTGTGCATATTTTAATGGGATTTCCTAACATCAGATACTAATTTCTCTTTTACTTCAGGCTGTATAAATGGTCTCATATAGTTCAAATGAGCAATATTTTTCTTGCAGATTCCACCCCACCCTGCCCCCAACCATTCTTTGTTGAATTCTCACATGTCTGAATTCAGCAAACAACTTAGCAGGCTTGCTTTCCATTTAGCCACCAGAACTGGGACACGAAACACATGGTACTGTTTCCTCTCCCTGTTAAGTGCTGGGGGGAGTTAGTGAGAGCATGTAGGAACCCCAACAAGAGCTGCTGCTGTGCTTACACTGGAGTTTGACATATTTCTTGTGTCAAAAAATATGATCGTTGCCCTTCAAGGTTGGTGGGACAATTGCAGACACCATTATAGTTCATGTTGAGATCCCTGCTGCTCCTTCCTGATTTACCCGGCAGTGGGGAAGTCTGCTTTGTTGTTTAAAAATCACAAGGTATCTTTTGAATAAGTTACTGGGGGGAAACTGAGCAGATCTGGCTGTTTCTGATCAACTCTGGGCATTCTTGAAGCCCTGTACACTGTAGAATAGTTGAAACTATCAATGCAGTGGACAGGCGTAACAGCTGGGCTTTCTAAACAAGGGTTACAGTTCTGGTTTGCTTTACTCTCACAGGATCTAAAATATATTGGAATTTTGCTTTGCATTATTTAACTCTAAATAGCATTAGTTAACTAGCTAGGCTGTGATCCTGTGCACAGTTACATGGAACTGAGCAGCGTTGAGCACAATATAACTTCTCAGTGAACATACTTAGGGTTGTGTTGTAAGTCGCCCCAAGGCACAGCATTTTGAGCTTTTTTATAAACAAGAATTTTAAAGGGAAGAAGGACACTGTCTAAATAATAATAGGTCTATATATTTTGCTCTGTTTTTACAAGGAAGGCCATCTCGGTATAACTTGAAATATTTTCTGTCTCCTTTTGAGTGATAAATGCTCTTGTGGCTGGGAACGCACAAATTTAGGGAACAGAATTAACATAGACATAAAAAGTAGGAAATGGCAGGCTTCCATTTTCATTGCTGTTTGCGGACTGTAGCATTAGATTTTAAAAAATAAATTCTATCCAAGAATGTGAAAAATAAGTGGTGGAATATAATGTCTGTTTTCTTTATGCTTGTTTTTTGACAGCTTATCCCCTGGGAATTGGTATTAGCATCCCATTCACAAAAATGCTGGCATCTTGCAGATCTTCTTTCCTGTATTTTTCTCTGCCTCTGTCTTCTCTATATTTTGACTTGAAGTCTGTAGAATTTAATACAGTGAAAGGAACTAGTCTGTTTGGGTACAGGTTTTTAAAGAAATCTGTTCTATTTTATTTTTTCCAAAAAGTTGATTCACTGTTGGCACTGGTGAAAGAGAAGATGAAGTAATTAGAACATGTTAACAAAACTGTTCATACCTCTGGCAAACTCAAAACAAAGCTAGTTTCATTCATTTCCCAAAATTAGTGAGCCATTGTCTTTATATATCCGTAACAGCGGCAAAGCTCTAATTTCTCTAGAGATATTACATGTTTTGAAATCTTAGATTACTTACTTCCTATTATAGAGATCTCTGTCTTTACATCACTTGGTGTATATTTCATAATTTACAAGTGTCATTTACCTCAAATCGGCTGAGAAGTATAAGGAGGTTTTTCCTGTGTAGCCCATTTTTCTCCCAGAAAAGAACTCTGTGTTAGTGTGTCTCTTCTAGTATTTTCAGAAACTTTATGAAATTCACTGGCTTGCTTATTATTTTTCATTGTGGCTTTCGTGCCTAAGACACCATGAATGAGTGAAAATAAAATGTATGCAGAAAAGAGCAATGTCTTGTGTGTTTCTTGTTTTTAGTTGGAAAGGGGTCTCTCAATTCAGCAAAAAGAACAGAATGCTTAGGTGACAATTCTATCTAAGCCTTCCATTAAACTCAACGGGACTTATTTTTGAGAAAACATGTATAGGGTTTACTGACAGTCATCAACTAACGTTTATTCAGAGTAGATTTGATGAAATTAATCGTAGAGTTGTAGAGTTGGAGAGGCCCCAGAGAGTCATCTGGTCCAACCCCCTGCAATGCAACTGTCATGGGTGCTTTACAACTAAAGCATCCATGACAGATGACCATTCAACGTCTGCGTGAAAATCTGCAGTGAAGGAGAGTCCACCACCTTCTGAGGGAGTCTGTTCCACTGTCGAATAGCTCTTACCATCAGAAAATTATCCCTGATGTTTAATCAGAACCAACTTTCTTGTAACCTGATGCCATTCATTTGGGTCCTACCCTCTGGAGCAGGAGAAAACAAGCTTGCTCCATCTTCCATGTGACAGCCCTTTAGATATTTGAAGATGGCAATCATATCTCCTCTCGGTCTCCTCTTTTCTAGGCTAAATATACCCAATTCCTTAACCGTTCCTCATAAGGCTTGGTTTCCAGACCCTTACTCATCTAGCTTGCCCTCTGCACACATCTGAGCTTGTCAATATCCTTAAATTGTGCTTAGAACACCTCACCTGCTCCTCAAAAGATTATAGTCAGAGGCTCTGAGATTACATCCACAAACTCCTTTAGTACCCTTGGGTGCAGCTCATCAGGCCCTGGAGACTGGAAATCATTTAAAGCAGCTATGTGTTCCCTTTCCACCTCTCCTATCTTGAGGTTCATCATTGATCCTTGCGTCATTGATGCTGTTATCTCCATGTTGGGCACTGCTTTCCTTTTGGGTGAACACAGAGGCAAAGTAGGTGTCAAGCAATTCCGCCTTCTCTCTAACCCGGCTTAGTCCCGACCATTAATTTCAATGCGCCTGTTCTGGATAAAATTCAGTTGAATGCATTGCCAAGTGGTTTACCAAGAAACAGGCAAGGGATTGTTGTATCGCAATGCAGTGTTGTGTAACGCTCTGCGGCCAAACATTTGGATGCCTGTCACACCCCTTTCCACTACTGCCTCTGAAGGAGGCTAGCCGTTTGTGAAATTAGGAAAACGATGGAAGATATTGCACAAATTGTATGTAAGGGTCTCGCTCGGAAAAGGGAAATAGTTGGAGTAATTGTGGTGTTCTGCCATTAATGCCACTCGACTGCTGATTGCAGCACCATTGCTGCACAGCTGGCAAAGATCTAAGTATGCTTCCCCCCCGATGGCAAACAGTTCTGAGGACTGACGGGGGCGCAGGGCAAAAGCACTTAATGATACATTTTCTTCAATGATGAAGAATACTTCAGATCCATTTGGGGGATGAGAAATGTGTCCTAATGAGGCAATTAGTCAAGACAAAAAGGCTGTAAAGCAATTTAATTAACACTGCTCCTGGTACATTTGAGGACAACTTTGTATCTTCTGGAGATTACATTTCTCATTGGAGTGAACAATGGGCTGCTGCAGTCCAGGTTTTGCATGGGTGAGTCATTTGAGGATGCAAATACATCTCATAAATGGTGGGATACATCGCAAAAGAAAGCCTGTGTAGCGGATAGAGTATTGAGCATCTAAGCAACTGAGATTCAGATCCCCACTTAGTTTGCTGGGTGCCACCACTGGTCCCTTTCAGTCTCAGTTGGGACCAGATCATAGTGGACTGCGCTGAGGTCTTTGGAAGACCTGTAAGATGCAGGTCAGATCCACACAACACATTTAAAGCAGGACTGTCTTGTAGTTTGATATATCTAGAAGACATCATGCAAAGTCTACAGTCTGAGGAGTTGCAGATCATGGGTAGATGCAAGACTAGCCGCTACCCAAATGTACCTCTCCAAACGTAGTCATCTGAGGATGGTGGCCTTATATCTTAATCATTGTTTGCACATCTTGATTGCACATGATCCAAAAGAAACAGAACTGTCATCCCACACTGCCTATCAAGCCAATACCAGCCCTGAGGTTAAATCTCTGTGCCAGTTAAACTGCCTCTTCCACCTGGATGCTTTTAGCCAGATTGGTGGTGAAATAAGAGGACTCAACCCTTTTGAAAGACAGGGTTAACAACGTAATGGACGATGCAAGGAAAGAGTCTTATATATTTGATGTGAGATTTGCTGTCAAGAGCACACACTGGGCCTCTTACTCAGTAAGCGTTTAACACTGCATGTCTAGCTTCTTGGCAAAGTGGGTCCAACAGGCCATCGCCTCCTGAGAGAGAGAGAAAGATGGACAATGTTAAAACATAAATAGGTCATTGGAGGTTTCCCCCACCTCTTAAAAAGGACACTCCTGTTCATGGCTTCAGGCAGCCTGGAATTTTTTTTTTTTTTTGCAATCCTATTCAAGCCTCTTGCTTGGGGTGTGTATGTGTGTGTGTTGCTTCCCCCCTACTGTACCATATAACACTAGAATTCCTCAGCCCAGTATACCTGAAGGAGCGTCTCCACCCCCATTGTTCAGCCTGGACACTGAGGACCCGCTCCAAGGGCCTTCTGGCGGTTCCCTCCCTGTGAGAAGTGAGGTTACAGGGAACCAGGCAGAGGGCCTTCTAGGTAGTGGTGCCCACCCTGTGGAATGCCCTCCCATCAGATGTCAAGAAAATAAACAACTCTCTGACTTTTAGAAGACATCTGAAGGCAGCCCTGTTTAGAGAAGTTTTTAATGTTTGATGTTTTATTGTGCTTCTAATATTTTTTTGGGTGCTGCCCAGAGTGGCTGGGGAAACCCAGCCAGATGGGTGGGGTAGAAATAATGAATTCTTCTTCTTCTTCTTCTTCTTCTTCTTCTTCTTCTTCTTCTTCTTCTTCTTCTTCTTCTTCTTCTTCTTCCACCAGCCCAAACCTGGGCACTGTATACTGTATTTGATTGTTGTATCTAATATCTATGGGAGGCTGAGGACATGTTGCTGTGGAGGCAGGAAGAGCTCTCACACAAGGGTACACAAACATCCAGGTCAATTTCATCTCCTGCCCTCCATTTTTCTGTTGTGTATGTGCTGTTTTCAACTGACCCATCTCAAACAGCTCTGAACAATAACTTGCAAAGTCAGCCTGAATAATAGTTTCCTCTCTGCAGGCTCAATTTCCACCAGTAGTCTGTAAGCTTGCAGGTTCTTATCTGCCCCCCCTCCCCCGAATACCACTTTCTTTTAATTCACAAACATTTCATCCATATACCTAGCTGTTTGGGGGCAAGCTTGGGGAAGCGTTTGGCCAAGCTGTGAGGGGAGAGGCAACAGGGTAGGTGAGGTGTCAAGGGATGAGGGGTTGCCTAGTTGTGGGAGAAGGGATCAGCAATGGAGTTGGGGGCTAGGGGTTTTTGGCAAGCAGCTCCCATAGTTAGAATCAAAGTCTATGAGCCCTACTAAAGAATGGAAGGATCCAGCTGTATTTCTTCTATCATTTTTTACATTTCTTAGAAATGTTTTTAAAAAGCAAAACAGAAAACAAGTTTATATTGTACCCACCAAAATCCAGATCATTAATGTTGCACTGAAACACAGTCTCTCCATTTACTATGAGCTGCACTTCATTCCAATCCGGTATTTCTTCAAGGATTACATGGTGTCCATCAGCTTTCAGCACAGCTACAGAAAGGCAGTAGGTAATGTTGCTAAAATACAATGCTATTGACAACCAGATTTGGATAAGAAATGGAGAATACTGCTGGTATGTAGTACTTCTCGTTACTTTAAGGGGTGCGTCATCCGAGTAAGCAGCTGAATTTCTTAAAGACACTTAAGATTTATATTAAGACAGCTAAGAATAATATCGTGCCTTCATTTGGGAAGAATATGCATTAGTACGGTTTAAAAATAGGAGGGGCAATACCGAGTCAAGCGCTGAAGTTTCGTCATGTGTTCTCTGAGTCTGTAGCAGGAAAGCAACAAACATGGTTTCAGAGTCAAGGTTAGGGTACGAGGGTTTGATATAAGGCAAAAAAGATGGTTTAAGGAGCGAAAGTTACCTCAGACATTTTGGCTATTCCGATTATACATCATCTAAAACATTTTGAGAGAGGGAGAACCTGGCATATCAGGACCTTCTCACAGAAAGAGGGTTGCTTACTTTGGAAGTCGAGTGGAATCTGTTCTGGAAGTCCGTTCAACTTCCAAAACATTTGAAAACCAAAGTGCGGCTTCTGATTGGCTGCAGGAAGCTCCTGCAGCCAATCGGAAGCTGTGGAAACCCCATCAGATGTTCAGCTTCCAAAAAAAGTTCGAAAACCAGAACAATTACTTCTGGGTTTCAATCGTTCGAGAGCCAAAATGTTCGAGAACTAGGCTGTTCAATTTCCAAGGGACAACTGTACCTTGGTAGGTGGGCACCAGAATGTTATGGAGAACGGTATTTTACAAAATGAACATGCAGGTGCAAGGAATATGGTTGCCCTAGAATAAGATAATGGATTGCAGCAGACTTCATATCCCTTTACAAGCATTCTCACAAGCACTTATTTCAAAACTGGGTTTAGGCCCAGGTTCGGCACTGAAGTAGCCTTCATCACCCTGGTTGACCTATTGTGGGAGAAAGCATAGCCTCCGACATTTCTCTGATTAAAATAGGGGTGTCCTATTCAACAACAGGGGACGTGGGTGGCGCTGTGGGTAAAAGCCTCAGCACCTAGGGCTTGCCGATCGAAAGGTCGGCGGTTCGAATCCCCGCGGCAGGGTGCGCTCCCACTGCTCAGTCCCAGCGCCTGCCAACCTAGCAGTTCGAAAGCACCCCGGGGTGCAAGTAGATAAATAGGGACCGCTTACCAGCGGGAAGGTAAATGGCGTTCCATGTGCTGCTCTGGCTCACCAGATGCAGCTTTGTCACGCTGGCCACGTGACCTGGAAGTGTCTCTGGACAGCGCTGGCCCCCGGCCTCTTGAGTGAGATGGGCGCACAACCCCAGAGTCTGTCAAGACTGGCCCGTACGGGCAGGGGTACCTTTACCTTTACTATTCAACAACAACAATTTTACTATTCATACCCCACCAATATGACTGGGTTGGTTATATTTATATCCAACAAATATAAAAACATAAGGGGGAAAAATAAACATTAAAAAAACAACCCTATACAGGGCTGCTGCCTTCAGATGTCTCTAGGGCTGGATAACGCCATACCCTCCAATATTTCTACAATGAAAATAGGGACACTCTAAGGAAAAGCAGGACATTCCAGAGTCAAATCAGAAACTGGAGCCGCTTCTGTGCATCCAGGACTGTCCCTGGAAAACAGGGAAACTTGGAGGGTCTGAGAAAGATGAATTCATCCCTGTTGATTCCTACTGATGTTTCACTAAAGCAGTGGATCCCATCAACCATGGTATCTCACTGGTTTTATAGATTGAGAGTAGGAGTAGGAACAGTGATAAGCTGGTTCTGCTTCTGTTTACAGGACCACTTTTAGAAGATAGCACTGGAGGCGAGATTGCTTGATTCCATGGCAGTTGTGCTGTGGAGTCCTGTAAGGTTCTATCTTATCTCCCATGCTTCTAAACACCTATATGAATCCACTGGTTAAGGTCATCGGGGAATGTGGAGTGAGATGCCACCAGTATTCTGGTGACACTCTGTTGTTCTCCTGCTCCTTGGCTTCAGAGACAGGCGATGCTGTGTCAGTACTGAATTTGTGTCTGGACTTGGCAAGGGTTTGGAAGAAGACCAATAAACTGAAGTTGAATTCTAATAAGATGGACGCCCTATACGTAGATGGTTCTCATGCCTGGGAATTAAGTGTAAAGGCCTTTCTGAAGTAAGCCTGGCTTTGACTTATAGGGGATTTCTTTTCTTGTTTTTAAATGAAAGGGATCTAAAGTCATTGAATCAACAGATGGATTTGGTATGATTAAGAACAATGGGAGGTTGATTGAACTCAAAAGTCGAGAGTAACTTACTTGTTGTGGCATCACACCATAATAACCAATAATTAGCCTCCAAGTGGCCACAACCTTTTTATTTCTAATCTATTTTCTCAGTGCAGTCCGCTGCCCACTTACCTGGGTGTCAGCCCCACTGAACTCAATAGGATTTCTTTCTGAGTAGACATGCATAGCATGGCACTGTTAGGATGGTGTTTGTTCAGGAGATATGACTGATTTTCAAATTTGCCTTGCCTGCAAATGTACAGGAATCACATATGCTTGATTTAAAGATGGCCTTCTTTTGCTTTTTAGTCTGCTGTTGCCATACGTCCAGAATTTCCAGGACATAGCCGGGATTTGGCTGTTGGAGGCAGTATCTGGGCAGGAATCATTGTAATGTCCAGAAAAATCCAGATGTATGGCAACCCATGTTGGAAGTGAAAAATTTGGTGAATATCCTTTTAAAAATGCAACAACTTGTTTTTTTTTCAGATTTTGCAAAAAACACACCCCAAAACTCAAAACCTGTTGTGTCTGGATTTTCACTTTTAGAAATATGGCAGCCCCACTCCGGTGTGCAAAAAAAGAGTGAAAGACTCAAAGTTGTTCTACTCCCCGTACTATGAAAACTTCTCTTCTCTCCCTTCACAAATGTAGCCTGGGTTGCCAACTAAGCTCATTTGCCCTTAGCTAGAGGAGGATGTGAAACCAGAAAAAGCCCGGCTATAGAAAAGAAGGGCATCCTTGGTTTAATAGCAACAAAAGCAAAATGAAAGTCGAAATCATAGAATTGCAGAGTTGTGTTTTTATATTGTAAACTGCCCTGTGATCTTCGGATGAAGGGCAGTATAGAAATTTAATAAAGAAAATAAAGACATAATAATAACAATAATAATAATAATAAATTATTTCTACCCTGCCCATCTAGCTGGGTTTCCCCAGCCACTCTTGGTGACTTTCAACAGAACATTAAAAACAGAATAAAACTTCAAACTTTAAAAACTTCCCTAAACAGGGCTGCCTTCAGATGTCTTCGAAAAGTTGGATAGTTGTTCATTTCCTTGACATCTGATGGGAGGGCGTTCCACAGGGTGGGTGCCACTACCGAGAAGGCCCTCTGCCTGGTTCCCTGTAACCAGATTTACTGCAATGCGCTCTATGTGGGGCTACCTTTGAAGGGGACTCGGAAACTACAGCTAATTCAGAATACAGCAGCTGGACTGGTGACTGGGAACGGCCACTGAGACCATATAACACCGGCCCTGAAAGACCTATATTGTTTCCCAGTACGTTTTTGACCACAATTCAAAGTGTTGGTGGTGACCTTTAAAGCCCTAAATGGCCTCAGTCCTGTATACCTGAAGCAGCGTCTCCACCCCCATCATCCAGTCCGGACACTGAGATCCAGCTCCAAGGGCCTTCTGGCAGTTCCCTCCCTGCGAGGAGTGAGGTTACAGGGAACCAGGCAGAGGGCTTTCTCGGTAGTGGTGCCTGACCTGTGGAATGACCTCCCATCAGATGTCAAGGAAATAAACAACTACCAGACTTTTAGAAGGCATCTGAAGGCAGTCCTGTTTAGGGTAGTTTTTAAGGTCTGATGTTTTATTGTGCTTCTAATATTCTGTTGGGAGCCGCCTAGAGTGGCTGGAGAAATCCAGCCAGATGGGTGGGTTATAAATAATAAAGTATTATTATTGTTATTATCATCATCATCATTCCCACCCCATTTTCCTTCAGCATGGGACATGTCTGGCAGGCTACATCACAAACCTTGTAAGCCCTGCAGACGGAAGGTCCTATGTTCAACAACGCTGCAGCTCCTGTAGGCCCCATATCTGAGAGTCACCAGTGCATTCTTTGGCATTGCTGGACCACGTTGCAGCCCTTGCTGGAAGGGTCCAGAACAAATAGGGGAAAAGGCTGTTTCAGGACAGAAACAGTTGTGGACACTTTCCTTTCTCTGCTGGACACTATGGAGAAGCCTGCTGCTGCTGCCCCTGCTGCGTAAGTTGTGTCTGTTGTGTCATTCACTGCCGACTGTTGTGTCATTCATTGGAACTATGGTGAGCCTCCCTCTCTGAGATGTAACAAAGGACAGCTCCTGATGCCCAGCTCTGGTGTCAGGGTCCGTGCTGAGGAGGACTGCACTGAGGCAGATTGTTGGGAGCCTCCCCCTGCTCCTGCTCCGGATCCTGAATCTTCCCAGGAGCAGGAGGACAGTGTACATTTGGAACGGTGGTTTGCAGAGGGGCATAGTTCAGAAGGCAGAAGCTGGGAAGTACTGGATGGGGAACAGCTAGGAGAAGAAGCACTGGGAGAGAGAGGGTTAAAAATTCACTGTCTCTGGAAAGCATTCATCCGCTCTCTACAAGGTCAAGAAGAGCTGAGAAAGTGGCAGAACAGAAAGTACACAATGCACAGAGGGTACAAGCTCAGATAACAAGACGTAGGAGTGACGTGGATTAATAGGGACATAAAAGGGGTAGGATTCTTAACTGGGAGCACCGCCATTCCTAGGAGATAGGTTCTTTGTTTTCTCGCTGTGGTTATTAAAGTTACTAACTGGTAAGAAGACTCCTTTTCCTTTGTTCTGCTTATCTACTGCCCCAGGAGGAGGAAGCCGATTCCCTGAAGCCTGTCATCTGGTGGTATTTGATTTCCAGAGGGAGAAAGGGGAAATTGCTGGGGCTCATACTTGTTTGAACAGACTGTGGTCACTTAGTGGCAAAGGGCAAGTGTCATGGACTGGTTGGACCCAGAGGAATGGTGGGAGGCATCAGCTGGGGAAACCCCAAGGGAAGAAGGCTCAGAGCCAAGGAGTTGGTGGTAGGATGACAGTGAGTGGTCAGAGGGAGAATGCCTGGGAGGAGGAGGTGTTGGAAGCCAAAGAGGTAACAGGGCGTGGTGAGCAGGGAGAGTCTGTGGCAAAGAGGTCTAGAATCAGAAGCAGAGGTGGAAGCAGGAAAGGAGGGACAACAAGAGGCAGAGATAAGTCAGATGGATGAATAAGCTTGGTTATCTCCCCTTCCCGCTGTGACAGCCCCCCCCCCCCAGTGTTCCAGGACCAAGAGAGGTATGAAGAGGGAGGAGCAAAGGCAGCATGCCAGCATAGTCTCAGATTGCTTGGGAAAGGCCCAGGAAAGGAGGAGACTTAGGCAGCTGTGAGACCTTCAAGCTCCACATGGCCTCACAGAGGCAAGACCTATCAAGAACAGTTGTTCTGTTCATTAGGCTTGGAAGTCCTGAGTGGATCTTGTTTCTTCTAATAAAGAGTTAACTTCACTTCCACTGTGCAATTTATTGCTGGCTTGTTCCCGACAGCACATGTACAAAATGAAAGCCACACGTCTTTTCTTTGATATACTTTTTTATTGACTACAGATTTTAAACTGTTTTCTGGATTCATCATAGCTGGGCTACAGTTCACTTTGATATCATCTATCAGAACGACTTGTAGACCTTAAAGCATAAAACATATAGCTCAGTCTAAACAAAGACACTATAAATACACCTTAGATTTGCCATAAATCTACACTATGTTATAAAAATAAAATATCACTAAAATAGTAACTTTAGGTATATAATATAATGCTCACATTATAAAAAGTTTGGGACATATTGCCACTTCGTATTGTATCATTAGCTCCACGAAGACAGCTCACCTGAGTAAGTCCAGGAGCAAAGGGGGCTTCTAAATTCTGACACTATGGGAGAAAGTTATTTCACTTTTAGCTATGCATTGGGGCAAGCTAGACATGACACTAACTTGTGAATGCAACTGCCATGCAGTACATATGGGGGGGGGGCGGGACAACCTTTCCCCCATATACTCCAGTGACCTCCCACCAACCTGTTGTTAGTCTCCAAGGGTGAATCTTCCATGGGAAACTCAGAAAAACTCTCATGATCTTCCACAAGGCCTTGAACTTGCTCTGCATGTGTACATACATGCACTGCAGCAAACTTGAATTCTTCAAGTGAAACATTGTACAGTGGTACCTTGTTTCTCGAACGGCTTAGTTATTGAACAAATTGGCTCCCCAATGCCACAAACCCGGAAGTGTTTCAGTTTGTGAACGTTTTTCGGAAGCCAAACATCTGATGCAGCTTCTGCTTGAGTGCAGGAAGCTCCTGCAGCCAATCTGAAGCCATGCCTTGGTTTTCAAACAGTTTCGGGCCTTGAATGGACTGCCAGAATGGATTAAGTTCGAGAACCAAGGTACCACTGTACCTAGGAACATGGGCTGGTGTTTTGGTGCTTCCAATCCACGCAACACGCAAAGGCCATTCCAGCTTTTCTGGGTTCCTCCAGTGATCCACCCAGAAGAGAGAAAGACTTGTATATTTTCTTTTGCCCAATCTCCAAGGAGCTCGGGAAAGCATTCATAGACTTCCCTCATTTTTATCTTTGCAATAACTGCTTTGTAGGATAAGTCAAGTGGTGAGAGAGGGGCTGGTTAGGCCATCCAGTAACCTTTACGAATGATCAGGGAATTAAAATGCAGGACCCCCAGTCTACATCAGGGACTATGTCTACTACATATCACCATCAGTCAGGAGGGTGGGTGGACCAGACCAGACTGTGCAGTGAGTCTGCATGTGTGACTTCCTACGGTGATGTGAAGATGCCCTGGAGAAATTCTGCCTTTTCCCAGGACACTTCACACAAACCCAGCCGTATATAGCAGTAGTACACTCTTGGCTTCAGTGGAGGCAAAATAAGAATGTGGAATAGTATTTCCTAGGAGGAATTAAATTCGTTTGGAGGACATTCAATTTCCAGTGTTCAGGTTCTGAATGCCCTTGGACCATTGGCACACAACAGGGAGGAGTCAGGCTTATGGGAACCCCAAAGCTGGCAAAAGTACAATTTTTAGGACACCCCCAAAAGGAACTGAGTGTGCTCAGTGGGGACATAACTGGCTATTGGGGTGGGGAATGGAAACCCAGAGGAGAATGGAATAGAATATCCAGGAAAAGGGCATGGCTGGCTGGCTGGCTGGCTGGTTGGTTGGCTGGTTGGCTGGCTGGCTGGCTGGCTGGAACCCTGAACAGGAGTCCTCCATGCCACATCTTTATTGCAGGTCCCACATGTAATATTTCTAAATTCAATCTCTCCATTGAAATGCTCAACGTGCTTATTGTGGATGGTCCATCCTGCAGTTCTGTAGTTGACACTTGTGTAAATCTACTGTAAAGTTTGCATAGATACACATGCTGCGGTTATATATTTCAAAGCTGCAGAATAAGCTTGCATTCTACTGCTCTAATACAGCTAACTTTAAATGAAGTTATTGAGCACTAACAATTCCCTGAAATCCACACAAAAACTAAACCCACAAACCTCTACTAAGTCACAAGTTATTACATGACCTGGCATGTTCACAGAAGGGTATTCAGACAGTATGTGCAGAAAACAGCCACATTTCATTTGACAGCACATTGATGAGTTACACAGCATCCCATATGAACACTGATTCCACCTGATTCAAAGATAGCTTGATGCATCCCCAACTCTGAAGTTTCCATCGTTACCCAATTTTAATTGTGAGCTATGTTGCCATTTACGGAGTTTAGGATGTAGCTGGAGCTTATTCTGCTACTAGATCTGAGCCTTAGCCCTAAACCTGAAAGTTTCAGAAGATACCCCAAGGGGAAAAAATGCACCATGTTACACAGGGCAACATATCCCTTGAGTTTAGATGGTCAGCTGCATCAACTGTTAGATAGATACAAATCTCCAGGTGACTTGCAGGGATCAGAAGCAGAACATTTTCACACAGACATATCTATCCTAAGAGAGCCTTTGCCAACCTGGTGCACCCTCCAGATGTATTGGGCTACAATTCCCACTGCCTGTGGCTGGAGTTGATGGGAGTTGTAGTCCAAAACACTGAGATGGCACCAGGCTGTCCTGAGATATCTAAAGATGCAGAGTAATGATGGGGAGGAGGAGGAGGACAGTGGTGATGATGACAATGGAATTGTTCATGAATGGATGCAGCCAAGAGAACTCCGGATGAACATAAGGATTGGTCTTATACCAAATTGGTTCATCTAGCTCAATTTCGCCTATACATTGACTGGCAGCAGATCTCAAAGGGTTTGGGGCAGGGGATGCCAAGAACTGAACCTGGGGTGTTTTGCGTGCAAAGCAGATTCTCTGTGCATCAGGACCCTTTTAAGAGAGACCCTATAGGTTCACACTGGCATGTGTACAAGAGACTTCTCTGCAACCGACAGCAAGAGGAACTTCACCCCTTATGAAGCTGCCACAAATTCCAGTCTTGCATGAGGCTTAGCAGCTGGGAAACATGACGCCGAAGCTTCTCAACCCACCCTGCCAAAAAAACCTCAGACATACCACTAACAAGCGGTCTGTGCACAGTCTGATGGGCAGCCGCCTGGACCAAAGTCAGAGGAAGCAATAGGGGTCTCTCCATGAAAACTATGATGACACAAAACCCACAGCGACAAAAAATATAAAAATATATGCTGTACCACCTGAGGTCTGAGAGCTATTCTAGCAGACTTTCATCTGTCTGCTTGTTTAATAAGTTAGCTTGTATGAGGTGGTTCAGAAAGGTCCTTTGGGTACATTATTATTATTATTGTTATTGTTATTATTATTATTTAAAAAATTAAAATTAAAATTTATATACTGCCCTATGCCTGGAGGTCTCAGGGCGGCTCACATCAGGACTTCTCTGCTTGTGTATGTGTGTGTTTGAAGGAAAATATAATCTAATAGAAGCTTGTTGCATTTTCAAAATGTCCACAGTCTTTTTGCATTTCTATCTCATCTTTCTTCTGTGAAGCTTAGTGCAGTCTTGCATGGGGTTATTCCCTTTTTATCCACACCTGTGGCAGGTTAGGCTGAGAGGGTGTGAATGGCTCAAAGTCGCCCCATTGAGTTCTGTGGCTGACAGTGGAGGTTGGTTCACGAGGGTGAGTGGAGCATTGCTCCATCAAC